CACTATTGTGATGGAGCTTCCTAATAAAAGATTGTTATTATTATTAAAAGTCGAACCTTTATGCAATGTTCAAATAAGACTTAGTCGCAGAGATTTGTCAATGGTGGATTTGTATGTATGATCCAGCTTCTTAAAATAACAACTCCAGCAGATTCCAAGTCAGGATGATACAAAATGTGTTATTTTCATAGTTAGTGAGTTATCGACGAATCCCAACTCAATCTCTTTTCAGAAGACACTTGCCCTTGTTCAGAGGGTGTGTCCTGAATGGAAGTTCTACTTTGCATTTCAATTACTGTTCAATTTTTCCACTTTTCATATGCAAATTTGTCCCACTGACTGACTCTCTCTCGCTCTTCTTGATTATTAATTAGATGCAGGGCGTGTAAACTTTACTCGACGCCAAGTATGTGATGTATCAGCCACTAATTGGCTTGCATTGTTAATCAATATTCATCAAAAATTGCAAATGCTAGTGGATCGAATTTTCAGCAAACCACACTTTCAGCCGAAGAGTTGAAACGCACTGTCCGTAGTTCTGAAGAGAAATTTTTCACTCTGGAGGGAAAAAGAGGCCTAACTCGGCAAGGAGAAGAGCTACAAAAGAATTTTATGTCACAGTAGTATAAGGTGGGCATTATTTTTGGACGATAATGCATTCACCTCCTTCGTAAAGCTGAGTTCACCGGGCCAACACGTGTCATTTCTTCGGACTGAACGACTGCTCAACTCGAAATTTTATTTCATGTGGATGTTTGTCCATGCAGAATAAGTAGCCGGCAGGGCTAAGCGTAATTTTGGCGAGCGAGTGCTCGGTATTTTCTCGGTTAAAATCGTAGCTGCCCTCTTGAGTCTTTGAATTTTTCACTTGATAAAGGCTGGGGAGAGGAAGAAATTTGTACTGAGGGAAATGGGGCGAGCAATGGTCAGAATGAAGGAGAGGGGGGTGGACCAATAACACTACTTTCATCTTTCTTCGTCCCCCTCCCCCACCGTCTACTCTAACTCTAAATCAAAACGTTAACTAACCTTTAATAAGACGCCCGCGCTACAGACTAATTCAGAAGCACAATATATCGTGGTGGTTTTAAATTGTGATAGAAATTCGTCTTTTATACGGATATTAGTGTTAGATCGATTGGGAACGTTGACCTTTAGTTAAACACGACTACATGAATTTTAGAAGACTTCTCCACTAGGTCCGTCCCTACAAACTTTTCAGATCGAGAACAAAAAAAAAAAAAAAGAAAAAATATGAAAATTTTAATTCAAAGCTCTTCATGTTACTATTTAAAATAGTAAACGGTCCCTAACCACACAGATAATTCATATGTTCAGGAAGACTGGGAGGATGCCGGCAGGAAGATGGAGGGATACAAGAGTTTGTTGTCAATAACAAACTGAAACACTGAACGATGAGATTACCGGTACCACAAAGATAAGATCTTTGAAGTTCTATAATATCAGAAACAAAACTGGTGGCTTGTAGTAATTAAATTATATAAGGAGACTTCACTGGACACCGTGTGACGGACTTTAGTCGTGTTGTGCCTGGAAATGTACTTAAGTGCGTGGTAAGTGAATAGTTTAGATCTAGCACCATTTTGGATCGATTTAATTTGTCATGGTAGGGACTGTTTTGCAGACCTTGAGCGATCGTATTATCCATTCGTCTATGAAAAAAGAAGCTCTTATTCATATTTACTGCAATTTACCACAGAAGACTTTTAAAAAGTTGCTTGCAATTGTGCACGGGTCGAAATTGGGAATTGATGAACTCCATAAATGAACACGTTCAAATGATCGCTCATTTCTTGTTTGCTTAACATTTCGTATCATAGTGACATTTTTGTTGATGTCGCAAATAGGGGATATTTGTTAAGGTGGCACTGCAACAGAAGGCCTCAGTTGAGGAAAAAAAATTCTAAAATTCATAAGAGAAATGAACTTGATTATTTTTTTTTTTTGTTCCAAATCAACGGTCATATCGCTACACACCTCAACAAAAAAAACACGGTTTTGACTATAGC